TTTTTTTAAGTGTTAGAAATTCAACTCTTGCCCGCCATGGAACATTTCCGTGATTTGCAGAACTACAGAAATTATCGCACAGCTTTACTTAAACCAGCAGGCTGACAAATGGCTAAGTGGAAGCGATAGGGCTAGTAAATCACAGTGTGTACCAATCTATGTGTTCTGAAAAAAATACAGAAAGGTAAAAAAGTGCTGAAGTGAGAATAGAAAGGGAGGAACATGAGGGAGCACAGAGAGGGGCAACAGAGAGTCCAAAGGAGGACTGAAAAAGCCATCAGGAGTCTGAGAAGAAAATGAAAGCAATTAAGGAACCGAGAGAAACAAGAAGAAAACACAAGGACAAACCCAAACAATGTAGGAGAAGGCAAGTAAAAAGGAAAATGGCAGCCAGTAGAGGAAAGGGTAGGAGGAAAAGAAAGAGCACAGAGGAACGTAATGGAAGGGAGAGAGGAGGAAAGAACGCTGCCAGAAAAAGCTTAGAACAGGCTAAAAATTGAGAGAAAGGCAAGAGGAGGATATCTAGGAACTCAAACATCACTTTCATTGCAGATGCCTCAAGAAAAAGGGGTATAAAATGTAGGGAAGTTTAAATGGGTTTAAGAACTTAGGTCATTTCATGTTTAAAACAGAAGAGACCCGTGCTCCTTTTTCAGAGTTGCTAAATTTGACCAACAAGCGGGTCTTATCGGTGCTATTTTACACACCTTGGAAGCTGAAAAGTGTTTCCCATTGGAGATCAAGCTGAAATGTGTTTAAGGTCGCAGTCTAAGGAAACTTGCAGTTCTGTTGCTCACAATGTGACTTTTCTTCAGTGGGACAGGACTCCTGACACACACCGTTCCTCATCTCTGCAAACCTGGCCCTGCAGCAGGGTAAGCATTTCCATCCACGACACCAAGTGCTTTAGCTCTCACTAGCTTCAGTTAGAATTAGGACAAGAAGCACCTGGCTTGATCAGCCCCTTAAATTCAACTGAAAACTAGTAAATACTTTGGGTTGGGTTTTTTTTTTCAACAGACTTCAGGAAACACGTGCAAGACCAAATTCTGCCCTCCTTTGCACTGATGCAAATCTGGGTATGGACGCTGATGAACACAGGGCCCCTCCAGGTTCATTCCAGCATGACTAAAGGGGAAATCTGGACCACAGCTTCTTTGTACGGAGATAAAATGAAAAGCAACCGCAGCCTTCCTTAGCTTAACAATACTCCATTTTGTAGGATGTTCTGAAACAACTAGAATAGCTACCACCCACTCAAAAAAAAAAAAAAAGAAGTAAACACATAACAAAAACGAAACTGCTATTTTGAGACACCTCTTTACGTAGGCTTTCTGTTCAGGCCAACAACCCAGTACCTAAATTTGATCTCTGAGTGAACTCCGTAGGAGGGCTGCAAGTAGTTTAGAAAACACAATCCTTTTTTTTGTTTTTTTCCCTGCTGGGGAAAGGGTTGATAAAATACTACCAAAAAAGAGCAAACAGTCCTCTGATGTTAATTTTCAGAGTCAGTCCTTGGAATCTAAACATCTTGTTAGAAACATGCCTTTCTCATACTTCTTTGACTCTTAGGTCGTGCTCTAACCTCAAATCAACGCCAGTTCAGCTATCAGTGATAAAAACATTGTAAACCATACAGACAGCAGTTCCTATTACTGAAGGGGCCCTACTCTTCCTGCTGTTCGATGCTATTTTTAGTCGCTTATGTCTAATCATTCAATTAATCATTCATGCCTAAGTCTTCTTTTTATGTCAAGAACCTACTTAGAGCAGTTTTTGTTTAACTTTGCCATTGTAATCGAACGCTACTTCCCAGAAGATTCTTGGGGGAAAAAAATGCATGTTTTGCTTACGTTTCTGGGTTATAAGAACAACATTTAGCAAGTCTTTTGCCTCAGTGCTCTTGAGCAGTGTGAAGAGATTTTAAAAAAGCACGGCAGAGACATGCTGTCGTAATACAGACACCTCTGTGGTACCAGGCACTAAATCCCAATTAGACAGCAAGTTTCTACTGTGTTCTCAGCAAAAGCCCTTCTATTCCCACACTTAGAATTTGACTTGCAAGACGAAGGAGAACACAACCAAACAATGGTTTTGTCTTTGCTGCAGCCGTTCTCCCAAATGCCACTTGATTACATGTACCTGAAGCAGCATGAAAATGCTATTAGATGTGGCCCCTTAACAATATAGCCGTGCTGTGGTGGGTTGCATCAATGAAGGTGACAAAAGTCACTTTTTCACTAATTTAGCTTCTCCTACAGATGTTGCAGTTCATCCAAATTTGCATGCTACCACAACGCTAGCAACAGCTTAAGCAAGCCGCTTCAAAATTAAGTCAGAGAGGGGTGCACCCTCAACCAGAAAGAGGTAAGGAGTGACGGGCAGGGAGGCTGCTGGAGCCAAAAGCAGCTTAGAGGCAGCAGCGAGGAGGAGGAGGGAAGCAGCTAGTAACAAGTTTGGGGGCAGGGAGGGAAAGGGAGAAGAGGGGATCTCCAAGAAGTGGAGGATTTAAGTTAGCAGAAAGGAGAGGTTAGATGCTGTGGGCAAGAAGGAGCAGAGGCAAGCAGAGATAAAGGGATGTGTTACGTAAGCCACAGACAACAGGTTGCAAAAGGGAACAGAGCCAAAACTGCCTACAACTAATAGAAAACATCCCCCTGCAGAAGCGGGGATGCAACTCAGGACCACAGCCCTTGCATTCCCCCGCAGCAGAGAACAGCTCTACGTCTCGTCTGTGCCTCATCCCCTTCTACGTACACACGTACTACTGCCCCCACTGACGGCATGCCCTTGGCGCCGAGGGTTCAATAACCTTCCACCCTGGATCAAAGTGCTCAGTCCTTCTTGATGACGTTGAAATCACTTTTTCTTTTTTTTTCTTCTTTTTTTTTTGTGGGGGGGAGGGGGGTGAGTAACTCAGAACACCATCAACTTTTTCCTTCTTTGCCTTTTCAAGTTAGGAAAGAACATCACAGAAGAACTGCAACAAAACTCCACTGTACTGAAGTTATAAAATCAAGCCCTCTAACGTTAGACAATGAAAAAAATAAGGCTGGCTTTTTAACCTCTGTTCACCTCCTTAACTGTAGGCATTTGGATGCATTCTGCAATTACACTATCACATGCAAATCTTTTCCAGTGACCCCTGTTTCAACTAGAACGCTGGATACGTTCTACTTTAGGAACACATTGGGGTTGGTGAAGTGACAAAGATACTGCCCAAAGAATCCCCACCTGAAATTTTTTGCAACCTGGAAGCTGTGAATTATTTATTTGTGGGCAGCGAGAGGATGAAATCACAATTAGGCAGCCTGAAAGCCCCTCTGGAGAACTAGATGCTATCCCCATCTCTGCCACAGAGTTATTCCGTGACATCACACAAGTGACTGAGATTTATTACTATTAGTTTCTAAGTATACATCCTCACTTCCTCAATTTCCAAGATCTGCCAATGTGCTTAATGCTCACAGCTGGAACTAGAACCAACTGCTGATGTTTCCTGAATATATAATGGAAAAAAATCTTGGATACTCTGGGAAAGCAGAACTTCGGTCTCTCAGTGTTTTAAATGCAACTTTTTTGCAATAATAGCGTATACATACTACAGTATAATAAACACAAGAAATAAAATAATCAGGCTAGGTATGTCAGTGCAACCCCTTGAGATAGATGCAAGTAGCCATGAAACGCGTTTCCCTTTTGCCACAACTGTCTTTATCCCATAATAGGTGTGAATCCAAGCCCATGTAAGCCAAAAGAGGTCTGGATCAGGCTAGTAAGGCTCTACTTTGGCACAGCTAGAGCCAATGGCTTAAAGCAAGCACTGAGAGGTTTTATTTCCTTGCCTGCATATAAGCACACAGAACTTCTGATACCACGGGAGTATTTTTCAGCATTCAAGAAGCAGAAAACTGCATGTTGTCACTGCACTGTTATTTTTTTTTTCTAACAAGCAAAACAGCAGAATTATCCAAATCTGCAAGGTCATGTCTAAGAAAGTTGAGAAAAATCAGGTACGGTTTTAAGCAAAACCAAAACAAGATGGCAAAATATTTAAGGGTAGTCCTTAGAATGTTGTCTTGTCCTTTAAAAAAAATAAACAAACCAGCAGCTCAAGTAGTTTTGAACCTCACGAGGTTGTTTCCCATTTGCAGTAAGAGCAGGGCTGGAGCAAGGAATTGGTCACGCAGCGGGGGATTAAAAAAAAAATTACTCCCTTTCCCCATGTTTTCCACCTACCCGTCCATGCCTTTGCTGATTTGGTATTTAGTTCTTAAAATCTGTCATTCACATTCCAGTTTGAAACTTCAGCAATGTGTTCACAAATCATGAAGGCATCTGGGAAGCTACATGTCTGGTAAGGCTGAGTGCCCAAGGAATTAGAACATGCATCAATCAGTCATTAAAAAAAAATATCCCAAATTACTGACCTCTGAACTTCTTTGGAGGATTAGCAAGGTCACCTGCCTCTGGCTGAACCACACATCGGTCATCCACTAACCTAGAAAAACAAAAGTTATTACACTTACTAAAACATGCATTTGACATCAGCGTATATAAATGCAGAGACATACCTGTTACACCATAGATACAGAAGCTTGCACATTTCTCCAATTTAATTCAAAAAATACCTTAGAAACTCTATTACTCAGTTACTAAGCATAACGAAGAAAAGAAAACTCTACATTTTCCTTCAAGAAAAAAGATTTCTTGTATTGCACTAAATTATGGCCTATGTCTCAGATCCCACCTCATTTAAATCCGGTTAAAGCCCCTTTTGTTACACCACGTACATTGATGTTACATGTAAAATTCTTGTTTTCTTTCGTTAGAGCCCATTAACCCTGAATCGGAAACAGTTTGTTTTCCTGCAGCTGTCAGATTTTCACAGCAATTACCCTAGGGCGCAATCCAAAATTCATCAAAATCAACCAAGAGACTCTGAGCCACTTAAACGAGCCCTGGAAAAAGACCTCAAAGAAAAACGTTGGGAAGGCACCCTTGTATCTATACAAGAAAGGACATTTGAAGCACTGCTTGGCCCTATGGCTGCAAGCTGTCCCGCGCTTGCAGATTCCTGTGTCCCCACTGAGGACTTTTACGGGGATGCACGGTCAGCAGCCTTCACGTGGCTACAGGAGTGTATGTGGATCTGCTTACACGATCAGGACACACAGGGGGGTTTCACCAGTGACTTGCTGTTTCATCTAGAATTTGAATCTGGAATCTGATAAAACACCTTGGATTTTAGTCTTTTAAACATTCTGCTATTCTTCTTCACCATTTCCAATCTTTTTCCTCTGAGGAGGCATGTGGAATTAAGATTCAGCTCCAATCAAAACTCACAGGACTACACTTTCCTTTGCTAAAATGAATAAGCATTTATGTAATCCACAGCAGAAAATCTAAATAACAAATCAAGTATATTTCTCACAATATTTTAGAAGTTAAATAAACAATAAAATTTTAAAATATAAATTGTTCATCTTATCACAGAACTTCCTAAACATAAATTCAGCTTCCTTTCAGGAAGCATCTTGTAAATAATCTGCCCGTTTCAAACAATTATTCAGGAAAATCATGTTTAAGGACACACTACTGCCCTGCCACTTCCCAACAACACTAAGCGGCATTGTCTGTGGGAAATTGCCAGAAAAAGCACAATTTGGGTTCAGCCAAATGAAGGCGCATTCGGTTTTCACTCAAGTCGGTGAAGGTACACAATAGGCGCATTCGGTTTTCACTCAAGTCGGTGAAGGCTTTGCATCTAGCCACGAGCGCAGCAAGACCGACCCCCCCAGCATGGCCATGAATTTCCTACCTCTAGCAAGCTGACTGCTGGCAAGCTGCCCACTGTGGTCACAGCTCCCAGAAACAGAAGCAAAACTGATAAAGAATTTTGGAAGTCACCAGCTCGGACCTCGTAACGTACTTGGATGCAAATGTGTGGTGTCAGCAAGGAAGGAGAACTGAAGTAACGATTCCAGAAGCAGGCAGGAAACCTTCCATGGCCTTATGGAATCATGTGTTTCACAGTCTAGGTTAGGCCAGGCTTAAAGAGAACCAAGTGAGGTTTGGAAAGCAGGACTTGGGAAGAGCCAGTCCTGCAAGATGCCCTCTGCTTATGCTGTAATGGGCCAAAGCTTCCTATAAACAGCACCTAAAACCTGGAGTTGCAGAAGAAGCAAGGCTGGAAAGGACAACCTTAACAGAAGCTTTGCCAAAGGATTTTAAAGCCAAGAAGTACTCCCCCCTCCCCCCCTGCAAAATCCCTCAAAGGCTTTCTGAATGATCCCATTAAGGTTTGGCCTTTAAGCACTGTCAGGATGGAGGACAGTATGTTGGAAGCCGATCGTGATTCACGAGGAACATCTTGTGTTCCTTGGTGACAACTTGTGCACCCTCATGACAACTGTAACTGTGGATGAAATGCAAAACTTGCATCATGATGCCACATCACCGGAACAGAAGCCATATGGAGAACAAGGTGTTGGTGCTGAGAAAAACAAACAAGATCCTGCACACTCTCCCAGCCAGCTGGCTGCAGTGTTCAACAACGTTAGGCTTCCTAGGCTCAGAAAATAGACGTTGAACAATTAACGTCAATCACTTTCATTTAAGCATTCTCTAACGGCATGAAGGTAAGGACCATAAATGAGTTCTGCAGTCATTAGGAACCAAAGACGTCAGACAAGACAAAGGAGAAAGGAACTGCTGCCGCTCCCATCCTACAGACATGAAATGACAGCAGAGAAGGATTGATTGACGTGTGGCAGGGCAGCGGCACGACAGACCAGAAGCAGCAGCATCCCCTCCCGAGCACTTGCTCACTGCCTCAGCTTCCGACACCTTCGGTTCTTACAAAGTATCTTACAACACAGGACAAAAACCGGAATAAAGCATTGCTTTGTCTGTATAGCGGTCTTCCAACAATTTAATCCCCCAAATTTCCATATAATGGCATTCATCCTTGATTCCAGCAGTGTGTCCTTCGAAGAGCTCAGCAGCTACTTGTTTACCGTGGCGGCGCTTGTTACGGCACCATAGTGAGAGCCGAGCTGCGCATGATGCAAGGTTTCAGCCCCTTCTGTAGACTGGAACAGAAGAGGTTCTTCAAACACAGCCCACTTCCTCCGATACACAATTCAAAATATTCAAACCCCGCTCCTTATACTGAGCCAAAAAGGCAGCTGTTGGTTTGTTACCAAAGCCCTGCTTAGGTGGTGGTGTTAAACAAGCAGTAATTCACGACCTTTGTAACCTGCAAACAATCCATTTGAGATGTGAGAAACCGAACAGGCTCGACTACAAAAGGTCCGGGGCACCGGCAGCTTCTGCCAGCCCACGGCACAGCGTGTTTTTAAGATCGCGCGCTTGCTGGTTTGCATAGGAGGCCAAAGTGCCCCAGGCAAGACTTTTTCTGATAAAGGCAGAATTTACTATATTATACCATCAAATTTGCTGGCTATTTAAATACCAATCTAAATTATTGCACCAATATTTGAGAGCCACTGTATCATCAAGAAGCTTCGGCAAACTTCAGGTTCTTCAGCTGGACTGCAGGCCATTCTGCCTTCTGCCCTCCGTTGTCATTCAGTACCTGGCAGATGCAACATGGCTGCATTTCAGGTTTTCATACGTTGGCGGCATATAAGTGACAAAGGAGTCCCCTACACACGTACAATACAATTTTTATTTGTGCAAGTTCTTCCCTGAGAACAATAAATACCTGGTTTATGCACAATGCCTCCAAGTAATTGTTGCAGGGCTATAATAGTTAATTTGTACAGTAGTTCACTGATGCCTAAAGATAAATCATCAGAAAAGTCAAAATAGTAATTACAGCCCTGGACTTTACGCATACCCCTTTGTATTCGGTAATTGCAGAATTAGGGTCTGAAAGCAACGACGTTCGTGGGACTGCTTATCTTAGATGCCCGGTCATTCTCCCACTGAAGCCGGTGAAAGTTTTTCCACTCGCCACAGGAGAAGGCCAGGGCAGTCCCCCACCCTGCGGCCAACCTCACCCACCAGCAGGGTTTAAGCCATTAAGACCTCACGCTACAGTGTACAAAGCCACATTAAACAAGCATGGAAACCATCTAAAGCAATGCCTAGGAGTTAAGGTGTGCTCCTCAGCAGAGGCAGGGGAAAAAAGGAAAGGCAGCTTTCAATCCTCTGTTAGCATTAGCCAGGACAGTCCCCATATCATGTGAAGTGGTCAAAGCACAAACCTGTACAGAGTCCTGCACCTATCTTCCTCTCCCTTCATTTACCCCATCATCTGGTGGTGTTGATCTGTCCTTTCTCACCACATGCAAAGCCAAACACACGTAGAAGCATTCAACTTAGTAGTATCTTGCAGCAATGAATATAAGGTAGCACCCGTGTAAACGTATTTACAAGCAGTTTCAAACATAGTGCCTCTCATTTTTGTTGTTTCAGCAACAAAAAGACAGGATCAACTTCCCCCAATACCATTCATCACTTGTATTCAGAACTTGGGTAATATAAACAACTTCAAACTTCCCATACAGCTTCTAATATCGCTCCGCTCCCTGGGCACTGGGCAGAAGCAGGGAAACAATAACTTGCAGTAAATCCCACTAAATCTTCCTACCAGCTAGAGCAGCAGCCTTTGTAGGGACTTTCACTGAAATTAAAAACAGACCAAGCCTGTGAAGAACCAGTGGGGACCCACTGTGTATTTGAGGAAACAGGAGGAAGGGCACATCGACGGCAGGAACAGGACTAAGCGTTTGCAGTGTAACTGATAAGGCAGATGTGTTGGCAGCAAAGACTAATGCTACCCGGGTTTACAGGTATGAATCATACATGCTGGATGAATCTTCGTGTCCTACAAGCTCCTCTGATTACCTAACGCAGGCTAAAGGCAAATACACCAAAGGTTTCTAGGAACTTGCAGATGTAGCATGAGGGTCAAGGAATAGTTGTATAGAGATAATGCTAGAAAAACTGTTCACAATGATGAGCTATTTTAAATTTACTACTGAGACACAGTTGCATTCTGGAAGAACAAAACCCAATGTAGGAAAAAAGAAAAAGAAAATAAACGATGATGGATTTCATTAATTTCAGGGCTCTTTCATAATGTAAGATGCTTTTTAGACTGTCCAAGAAAGCAGCCACACAATATTCATTTCTCCTAGCTTTGTGCCTTTGATTTAAAAAAAAAATCATCCTGAAATGTATTTTGCCTCTTCCTACCAACAGAGACTTCCACTTTTCATAAGCAAAACAATAGCTAAACAAACACACAAGACAAAACAACACACAAGCATACGGACTCTCTCATACATGTAATGACACATACGCACACACATGTGCGTAACTTATTAAAAAATACAGGACCCAGTTACTGATGTCTAACTATTATAATACATGGGGATGAGCAGCACTCAGTTTGGTACTCTTCATACATATGTAGAGTATTTTTACTCCTCAAAAAAATGAATAACATAAGCTAAAGGCAATGTCTTCAACCTAAGACACTCTCTCAGTTGCTCAGCTTTTACTCTCTTAATGGTATCAACATTTTACTGATTTTCTGAGCAGCATAGGGCCTGACAGCCGCGGGAAGAGGGG